CCTTATGAAAATAACTTAAGTCTAAGAAGTATTTGCTACTGGAAAATTATTGTTCTCACATTGAATACTCATCACCACCGCCTGCTGATGAGAGAAAGGAAATAAATTCTGAGATTGCACACTCTGCTTTTAAAGCTAGGAAGTATTAAGATACAGACCTCATTCACAACACAGGATGCAAAATACTCATTACCTCTTATTTACTCAGTTTGAATTGTACTAACTGTAAACACATTGTACTCTTTAGTCATGGGCAATTTTATACATTCCTCCCTAATATCCCAGCCTTTAGTGAACTTACCTTCCTAACATGTGTACAAAGAAAGCTTCCAACTTCACTGAGAGAAATAGTAAAGAAGATAAACAACCCTCAGTATTTTGGGGAGCGATTTAAAGTGCAAGAGCTTGATTTGCCAACACCTTTAATATCGCACATCTTTCTAGGCCCAGCTCCTATTAACTTAAATTGCAGCTGCATAGTTCAGCTCTTCTCTAAATCAGACCATACAATTTCATGATAGTTAATCAGAAAATGAGTAATACACACACAGAAGCTGCAGGGAAAACTGAACTGTCCAGCAGCACACATTCCTCTGGGATAGAAAGTGGAACAGCATTGCTGAGGTACTGATAAATAAAACATGAGCTGAATAAATAGTGCAAAAAGTGCTCCTATGTAAAGAGAATGTCCTGTATAAGTTTACTTGCTTAGAATAAATGAGAACTGGCTAACTTCGATAGTACCACCTAAATTAAAGCTGGGTAAACTTTTAGCTCATGTCCTTGGATGGACAGCAAGCTGATCTTCTGCGTAGGATTTAAGGATCTTTTAAGGATCTCCAACATGCATGTGACCTTCCTGAAATCCATTCTCCTCATGCATACGTGTACCATGCTTCTGTCATAGGTAAGGACAAGCAGATCCTTCACACATGGAGCATCACTCATACAAGGAAAGGCTGGGACAATTGGGTTTGTTCAGCCTGGAGAAGCTTTGGGGTGACTTAATTGTGGCCTTCCAGTACCTTAAGGAATTGACAAAAACGATGGGGAGAGGCTATTTGCAAGGGCCTGGGGTTACAAGAAAAGGGAGGGTGGCTTCAAACTGAAAGAGAGGGGTTTGAGATTAGATGTTAAGAAGAAATTCCTCCCTGTGAGGGTGGAGAGGCCCTGGCACAGGTGCCCAGAG